GAAAGGAGAAACAGTCCTGTTTTAGCCAGGACACAGGCAGTGTCTCCTGGAAAATGGAGGACTCATCCAAACTGGGAGACCAAGTGAGGCTGTAAGTACTTTAGAGAGAAAACAGTCTGTACTCTTCAGCTTCAGGTATTTGGTCTCACACCCTTGATTCTTGGTTTAAACTAGGAAAGTTAAATATGAAGGTAGTTTTTTTAAAGTGCAATAACTAAACCACTAGCTTGCTTCCAAGACATCTTAATTTAGAAGTCAATCTCATTTTGTTCAGTTCATTTGGGCCTAAAATAAGAACTTCATTCTGAACAATAGAGTCTACCTGGGGTTTCAATGAAACCTAACTAGTTCACTTTAAATATACACCCCTACTTAATTAGGCTGAGTGCTCCTCATAGATAATGCCCAACCTAAGGAATTTCATCCTTAGGACGAGTATTGCTGGTGAAAGGAGTTGCAAATATCCCTTCCAGAAGCAAGGGGAAGACAGGTGTATTGTCATGCACAGCTGCCACTTGACTGGTGTGCTCCTGTGAACTGTTTTAACTACTTACAGCATAGCTACTCATTAAATCTCAGCAGCATTTGGAAGCAGACATGTTTTATGGGTGGGAGAGACTCTGAGGTTGCTTTCTCTGTTTCAGGTAGAAGAAGAAATCAAGTCTGATCTCTACATTCTGTTCTTCCATATAGTCCAGCGAATCCCTGAATATCTTATTCATCTACAGGTAGGGCCCCAGGATGGAAATTGTCTTGTTGAACTCTTATTACAACATGTGACTTTTAACTCAGAGCTGGTATTCAGGCCTGTACAGGTACAGGGCTTCTGGCTAACCCAGTGGGTGCTCTGAAAAAAGCCTCTGAAAGGGAAAGCCAGCTGAGAATGGCTCAATTTTCATCATTTTCACCTGAAGCTTGCTTCTATTTGCCAGTTTCTCCATTTGGCCTGACAGAACCAACTTTTGTCCCCTGGGAAGCCGAAAGCTCTGCTGCCTGCTGCCCTGGGAGAACAGGAGGGAGGCCAGAGATGGGGCACATCTACTGTGAGCTCCAACCTAACTCCTGTAACAGAGCTGGCCTCTTTGCCGAGTGGTCCACATGCCTGTTAGCTGAGAGACTGAGAGGGCTAGAGGCTCCTAGGGCCTAACAATCTTTTTATCAGCAAGCTCTCTGTATGAATGAGTTCTGGTTCACAGGAGGGCTATCTGAATTGCACTAAAACATTTCAGACAAGACAAATGACATAGAAAGCACGCCCTACAAAAACAAGAGATTGGTTTATTTATCCAGTGCTAAACTCAACCAGTGTACCACCCACACATCCCATGATTACATTTACAGTGGCTACTTGTGTACTTGCACTGGAGTAGTAGAAGGGAGGCCCCATCCAAGTCCCTCAGAAACTGGTGCTGCCTAGAAGACCTCCCACCGTGCTCCCACAGGGCAGTGCCATGGGCACTCCAGAGCACTAATCCATGGTCCCAATGGGACCTTCTCCCCAGAAGGGGTTAGGACACCCTTCAAATAGCTTGCTTTCCTCTGTGCCCTAGAATGTCCTGAAGTTCACGGAGCAAGAGCATCCTGACTATTACCTGCTGCTGGTGTGTGTGCAGCGCCTCCGGGTTTTCATCTCACACTATAGCCTCCTCTTCCAATGCAATGAAGACCTGCTCATACAGAAGAGGAAAAAGCTGAAGAAGTAAGCACACCATCAGCTCATTCTATCACCAGGGAAAGGGAGGTTTGGGGGAAGCCTGGAAATAGGAGGTTTAGGTCCAGGCAAGGTCATCAGCACGTTGCTCTGTTGAAATAAAACAAAGCCCTTTGCATATGTATGCTGGAGAAGGCCCACTATTGGCTTTGTCCTTGAAACTGAGGCCAGATTTGGGGTGGGCCCTTTTGTCTGAGAGTGAAAGGAAACTCAGTTTAATCCTTCTAAACACAGCAGCCACGTGTTTCATGGGAGCATTTGATTCCTTAAGCTGATGGCAAAGTCACTCCCCAGTGGGAGAATACATGGGGACTCAGCTGCTTTGGCAGCTCGAGGCCCCCATGAACGCCAAGACTGTTCCCTGAAGCCCTCATAGGCTAAGACTGGGAAAGAACAGTGTTATCTTATTTTACTGGGGGAGTGGGGTGGGAGAAACAAAAGTCCCCCATGACCTGAGATGAACTGTGACAGAAATGACCCTGAATGTAGATTCTTAAGTTGTGGTTCAGAAGAGTTCCTTGAAATCAAGACTTTCCACTAAAATAAAAATCTGGTTGCCTTTGCTCCTTGTGATGATTCAATGGGGGAGTAGGACAAGATCAAACTTCAAGGGAAGCTTCCAAATATGGAGGGTGGTAAAGGGCTGGAGCAGACTGCTGGGGAGGGACTGCTACCAGGAGGGGCATTAAGAACAAGTCAGAAAGCAGGACACCCTGCTGACTGGGACAGACTAGGTAAAACAGGTCCTTTCTTGGGGCGGGAAGAGGTGAACGGGAATATTAAGGTCCCTCCCAGCCCTGTTTTCTGTGATTCTACATGCTCGTGCTCATTCCCTGCCTTATTTCTTAGCACGACGATGGATTTCTCCTCCCTCAGGTCATCCCTGGTGAAGCTGTACAAAGGTCTCACCTCCCAATGTACGAGCCAAGAGGTTTCTCCAACACCCAGTGCGACATCTATCCGAGACAGCGGGATCCACTCTGAAGAGACAATACAGTCGTTCCCACCAGCACCTTCCTCTGGCACGACAACCCCGTAAGCCTATTGTCCTAGTAGAAGGCTTTCAAAGTAGGCTGAAAACTCTCTCCTCATCCATACTATGCTAGTCATTTCCAAGACTACTCCCTGCATATGCAGAGAGAGGTGAAGGGCTGGCTCCTTCCTGCTATCCACTACCATGTGGCTTACAAGCAGGAAACATTTCAAAGCTCTGCCCAGGGCTGTCCACGCTCTTGCTGGCTGTCTTAACAGTGTACCAGGGAGGACATGTATTTGTGTAGGCCTGGCAGCAGTGTGCATAGTAACACTCCACATTATTCACTGTCAACATTACAAGAGTTAGGAAACATGACCAAGGTCTCAGACTAGCAAAAGCAGCACTTTTCCACAAAGCATGTCATTGAGTGATGGGACTCACTGTCACAAGATGCAAGTACAAATGGGTTCAGAAAGACACAAGACTAATTCAAGAAAGACAGGGGTACTGGTAGCACCCTGCAATCTTTGGCCATTTCTAGCCTGCCGATAGGTGCCAACTGAGATGATGATCAAAGCAGCACACTAGACTTGCCTTTTTTCTTATGTCAGCAATTTGTCGCTGTTGTGCTTCCTTACATCATTTGACACCAAAAAGAAGAGTTTGGCTTCATCATTCTGAGTCCCTCTCAAGTGGCAGTGTTATTAGATCAATTCCTAGCCTCGTTCTCACCAGACTACCCAAGCCAATCTGCTGCCCATCACAGATGCGATGCTCCAGGCTCCCAACTTGCTAGCCTCAGCTCACACCTCCCCAGTTTTCCCACATTCATCCTAAACTGAGGACCTAACATGGGTTCAAGTGGGGTCTCATCAACACTGAACAGAAGGGAGGAAAAAAAGTCCCCAGGCTCAGCTGGCCATGCAGCTCCTAATACAGCACAGGTCAGGGTTTGCCTTGTCTGCCATGAGAGCATGCTGTCAGCTCATCTTTACCCTGGCAATGGCTGTAACACCAAGTTCATACTGCTGCTGCTCAACCCAGATCTCCCAGCCTGGTCTGATGCATGGAGTTACCTTACCCCAGATGCAGAGCTCTGCACATCTTGAACATCACAAGGTTTTTGTTCCCCCACTCATTCATTATGTCCCCAGATGACGACAGTGGGACTTTCCTAACTAGGGTTTGTTAAGGGCCACGGAGGTGCACACTTTGCACCTAATACCTTACCCAATGCAGTATTCTTTGCTGACTTACCTGGAACACATGAAGGGTAGGAGCCCTCCAAGTACTCCTGACATACTTCTGGGGACAGAGTCACCCTACCCAAGAGAGGAACCTTGTCCACCTGAAAAGACAATCTGACCACAAGAAAGTAAGACACAGCCCCTGCATTACAGAAAGAGAAGGAAAGTAAAAACCCAAAATGCAGATGAACAGGAGAGACATGGAGCAGCTGGCTTCTCGTCTCAGTTTCTATTAATTTTATGGTGTATAGTACAAAAGCCAGCCAAAGCTACTGGATAAGCAGTTCTATTCCTACAAGTTTGCTTCTGCTAACCCAGCCAGGCAATTTCTATTAGCTCTGTTACTGTTCTCTAAGATATGAAAATACTATTTGGCCTTAAAAGCAAGAGAATGGGGCTGGGGGAGCAAGGGGAGAGGGGGACTTGTCATGCTGTCTCTTGGTCATCCTTTAGTATTCCACTTCCTTCTGGTTTTTTGTTTTGTTTCTTATTTTTAAGGCATTTGATGCCCCAGATGAAGAAACCCCAGCCAACCGTGATGGAGAACATCCAGGCTGTAAAGCCTCCTGACTGGGAAATGGAAAGTAGAAAACATGAGAGGCCAGAGAACATCCTTGCATCCTCTCAGCTCACAGAGCAGGAACTCAAGGCTCTGACAGCCCCCTTACAATCTATCCCTGAAATGGAGTATGAAGCGCCACCAGCTGATGCGGTGGGGAACACTGAGAGAGCCATCAGGACCTCTGTGGAGCTGCTGCAGGATGCAAGGAACTTTGCACCAAGCTACGAAGAGTTCGACTACCCTGGGGAGGTTTTCACCCTGCCAGGCCCCTATGAAGATGATGCCTTCCAAAACCTCGCTCTCTTTGAGAATTGCTCCCCGGCCTCTTCTGAGTCCAGCTTAGACATTTGCTTCCTTAGGCCTGTTAACTTCACGTCAGAACCAGAGAGGACAGATCATGCCTTACAGCCATTGCCTAAGAGTTGCACTCCCGTAAGCAGCAGTACTTACAAGCGTGAGATGTTCCACAGCAAAGGCAAGCAGCTGAGTAGGTCTCTGAAGGAGCTGCCAAGGAGCGCTGAGGGTGTGAGCACCAGACTCTACAGCACACGGAGCAGCAGTGGGAGCCGGCTGCAGCAGAAGCAGGAGAGGAATGTCCAGCCTCACATGATCTCAGCCTCATCTCGAAGCTCCCAAAGGAGCTACTTCCCCCCACAGAGAGGAGCGGGTGACAAACAGAGCTTTTTGGAAGTAAGGAGGCTTAAATAAGAGGAGGAAAAAAAACCCAAAGGCACGTGGTGGTGCAGAAGCAGCAGCAGGAGAAAGATCTGAGATACAGTTAGGGCAGAACATGCCAGAATAGCTTCCAAGTTCACACATTCAAAGTCCTCATCTGCATGTACATGCCCAAGAGAGAGACAAGACAGCTCCTTTCCACACACACCTTCCCCAGGGACAAGCATGGGCTTGAGGCTAACAGCTGGATGAGTGACAGCTAGAACACCCTTGAGACAAGCTAGCCTCTCATGTGTCTGTAAGCTGTCACTGAGCTTCCCCTACAAGTAAATGTGCATCTCATCAGGGCCACTAAGTATGTGCAAAGCTGTTCAAAATTAGTGCTATAGGGTGGCACCCAGCTAAAGGTGCCTTTCCACCTGCTGTGAGGAGTGCTAGGTTAAAAACAATGGATTTGGCATCAGATCTTCAGCCGGTGTAAACCAGCATGACTTGGCCAAACTCAGCCCATTTACACCAGCAAGGATCTGGTCCATGAGTTTTGTTTCACCGGTGTTTGTTGCATGGATCGTAGACCCATGCTAAAGTCTGTTTACAGAGAGCGCAGCAACTGTGTCCCTCGGACAACCACTGGCATGGCAGGTGGCACTCTCACCCTTCAGGGACACCAGGTCTTGCAGGACCAAGGTTTCTGTGGTACGCAGTGCCTGTTCAGAGTCAGCTTTGAGCTGCCACAGCTGGGGGGGAAGATGCCCTTCACACTTCTTGCGAAAGAGGCTGAGGGTGCTATGAGGTGCTTAACTAGTTCTCTCAGTGCTGCAGGGAGAAACACCCTCCTGTTAAAATGAGGCAAGATGCAAATGAGGCTGTAGATGCAGATGATAATGGCAGGAAGGTTTCAACAGCCTGACTGAAAAGGCAGCAAGGAAACATCGAAAGAGAGAGAGAAAAAAGCCTAGTGAGTGAACAAGGTGGTGGATGGCTGAAGCAGGGGAAATGAGGCAGAGAGAAAAGAGCCATGGGGACACAGCCTCCCCCAAAACAGGAGCCTGTGAGCTCTTTGGCATGTACCTGCACAGAGCTATGGCCCATAGCAGGGTGCAGATGTGGAGCTAGTCCATAACTGCAGGACACATTCCCCCACAGAGCAAAGGAGACCAGCAAGGCAGTGGTGTGCAGAACTGGAGAAAAGGGACTTGTCCAGAGCCTTGCTGAGAGGAACTCAGCACTCTCCTGAAAAGGGGAGAGATCTTTCAGTGGCATGTTTGCCACAAGGTGTGTGTGCTAATGAAGCCTTCTGCCCCACAGACATAAAACCAGGCAGCAGCACAGTCAAGTAGAAGAGTCTTTCACACCCTATCAGCTCAAGAAGCCTGAAGCCTCCCTGCCCTAGGGTGAACAGAGCTCATGAGCAAGGAGAGGGTGGGAAGTTACTTCAACTGCCCATGCTGGCTTGCTCCCTTGTTGGAAAAAGGGGCTAGTAAGTTCCCCTAAATAAAAAGCTTAGCAAGGAAGGCTCCAATGCTTATCCTTCCACTTCTCTGCCACTGCCTCAGCCTCAGAGCAAGCAACAAGCTCACCGCAGAGGTACCAGTGCTGCCGAGGCCTGAGTGACCTGTTTTCTCCCAGCCTTGCCAGCACCTCCTCACCCACCAGGTCCCTCCTAGCACTGAGAGAGAGAAAGAGAAAGGGACAAGGATGTGAGGTTGCAAATGCTGGTTAAATTGTCTTTTCCCTTTTAGGAGCTCCATGCAGAAGACAACACCAGGTTCTGCCAGAAGGATGACAATGAGCAAACATCCTTCAGCGACCACAACCCACGGCACGAGCCCAAGGGGGGTTTCCGGAGCTCCTTCCGCAAGCTCTTCAAAAAGAAATAAGCAGCCCCAAGAAAGGCAGGCCACAGCCTAAGCGCGGCAGTGCTTTCCCAGGTCCCTGAGGGTGGAGACAGACAGCAAGGCCCCAAGATCCCCCCTGACTAACACAGTAGGTGGAGGGCTGAGGGAGAGGAGACTATCACAACTGCCTTACAAACGCATCCTGCTCTTCTTAGCACAGGGCAGGGCCAGGCTATGAGTTGAAGTGGAGCTCAGCCAGCAGGTCCAGTAAGCACAGGAACTTGCTAGCTTTCACCTCGGCCTGACTTAACTTTCCTTGCTGTTTTGGAAAGCTTTGGCCAAATCCCACTATCTTCTCCTCCCTCTCATCCCGCAACACTGCTTGATTTGCCATACATCTTTGCTCTTCCAAATTCAAGCCAGGTCTAATTTGGGTTCACCCACAATAGAGAAGTTACGTTTGCAGCCTTGGCATCCTGGCCAGAAGTCTGAAATTCCCCTCTTTCCTCCAGTTTCCAAAAAACCCCCACCATCACAGATGTCTTCCCGAAGGCCAGCTCGCATTACCCTGCTGATTTGAGATGGTCTAATAAGCATCAGCTGAAGCACCTGGGCTTTGTACTGCTTAATCAACAGCATCCTTTCTTTTGGACTTCCATCACTCCCCCAAATCCTCCTTCACCTTTTATGTGGTGCACTATTTCTTGAATTGCCTCCTGCTGTCAGAATCTCTGCTCCTGCTGTCAGAATTGCCTGTGTCTCCAGGCAGGCGATGCAGGCTAGGCCCAGGGCCTGCCACAAGAGACAAAGACTCTTCTCCACCCTATCCCCACCATGGATTGATGCAGACACTGACACAGTCAATCAGTCTCCTCACTCCTGGTCTGTAATACACCTGAAATATTCTTTGCTAACTCTCTTTGGCCTGACACCACCTTACAAACCCCATCATGTGCAGCACCCTGCTTTGGAGCAGTTCTTCTAGCTAAAATTGAGGCACTAGGGCAGGAAAGTCAATGCTCAAAGTCACAAGCCCTCCTTGTGCAAGGATACTCTTCCTCCCACAACAAGGCCACACACATGCCACCCTACTCACAAACCCTCAGTAACACTGTTGTCTGCAGAAGACTATAGCTTTTGTTAAAAAAAGTATGGAGAGAAACACAGCCCTCTGGTGCGATATCCATCTCACACCCTAGCAGCAAGAGCACCACTGGTACAGGGCTGTGGTGTTAGCTGAAGCTGGGGCATGCTGAGGGCAGTTTGAAGAGGAAATGTGGTTTTCTGACCTTATGTTGTCAGGGTTGGGACACCAGTCTGTCATAAAGAATGGCTTCACCTGAAGAGGTTGTGAAACTGTCTCCATGGGGCCAACAGCAGTATCTTGGGGGAAATATGCAAGGCTGTGAGATTAGGGGCTTGGGACTCTCAACATCATCACAAGGGTGACTGAATCTGGTGCCAAGAGAAGAGCACCCATCATGCTGCATGGCCCTCCTGGCAGCGGCAATGGTACGGGGAGGTCCCAGAGCAGGTGTCCTTGGCTGCAGTAGCTAACACCCACTACAGACGCAGGGCCTATAGCCCTCCCATAATGTTGACTGACCTGCATCTGCCATCTGCTTTTCCCCGTCTGGTGGAAGTGAAGAATTGCGTGTGAAAAGGGTTATCCACCTAAGACAGACAAAATCCATCCTTTATCTCAAAGTTTTCCCAACATTTCAAGAAAGTGACCAAGCAAAACCCCACAGATCAAAAGGTTCTAGCTGATGCCTGCCCCATAGATTTTACTGGATCTAAAATAGTTTCCAAAAATCCACCTCTCCTTACAAAGAGGAAAAAATACGTATAATCTCCACTCCTCCCCCCCTCCCCGCTTTTGGAAACTATTCTGAGAAGATTTTTTTTATTTTAAGTTTTTTTAATGACAAAAAATACCCTTCCATCTCTTTCCCTCTCCCTCACATCCTTGTTAAATTACAAATTCCCTGGCCTTTCCTACCATGACCAGTCGCTGCATCACAAGGACACTTCCTAGAACTTCACAGCTTTCAGTCAGACAGTGCAGGGCCAGCATAGAGATATGCAAGAGCAGTCAGATACTTGTAACTGAAGCATCAAGTGAAGTCTGTTTGTTCTGCAAAGGAATCAGCCATAGGCAGACCTATTTCTTTGTCCATGGAACCAGAGTTGCATCAATATGGACGAGTTTCCACTGTAATGCACTGATGCTGTCAAGTGCTCTGAAGCGTGTGTCTTTGGTCTTATATGTAATGACACTTCTATCCTTCATAGAACAAACTTGCTCCTCACACTTGCCAGGCAGATGCCAGGACAGAAACAGGACAAAGGGGAAAACCTACCTGCTAATATCTCCTGAGTAAGGAAATCCTTTCAAAGTGGCAGACCCTTGCTTGTAAAATGCATGTGGATTTTAGCTTCTGTTTTAGTGATTTAGGGCATGGTCAGAATTGATGGTTTTATCTTTCTGATCCTGCATGAGTTCTTAGTTCCAGGCCTATACTTATCATTTGAGATGTCCGTGTACCTGCTCAGATTCTGCAAATATAAATGAAATGAATGAATGATGCTCAGCACCACACAGAAACATACCACCTCTTGCAGGATCTGATCCAACTTCACCTTTAGTGTACATGTGTGTTCTGGATTATTTTTCTTCCTGTGCCAAATAAATGTTGCTTTTAAATAATCCTGTTGTCTCTTTTGCACTGAATCGGCCATAAGGTTGCATCCATTGAAAGAAGAAACATGTGTTTTCAAGGTCCCTTTCTGAGGCAACATTACTTACAAAATCCTGTTCCCCTGCATACCCAGTCATATGAGAAGATTGCTTCCACACACTTGGTTCCAAGACTCTTACCCAGCACTCAGCTGACTCGCTCTCCAGGCTTCTGGTCAAGATCCTGTTGTTGGTGCAGCTCACTGTAACATTTCTTCAGCTCCTTCGTCCATCTCCTTTACTCCTTCTGCTGCTTCTGTTACAGACACATGAGCTTTCAAAAAAAAATAATCCCATGAACCTCCTCCACTGGACATACACACCACTGTAATTTCAACTCTCCAACTCTGTAAGAGATTTAATATCTTCCCGTTTATCACAAACATCTGTCACATACCAAGTTGTTTTAAAAATTTAATTCCAGTTCTGACTATCAACACTACATTACCTTTGCCACATTCTCAGCAGGTCCAAAAAAACGACACCACAAACATGGACAACTCACCCTGCAGTGCTCACACCTCCCCGTACCATGAGGCACTTGCAAGCGTGTGCACTGTGACTCCCTGCAGCATTGTGTGCTTGATGACAGGGTCTCAGAGATTAGAGAATGCCAGAGGAGTTTTGAATCAACAGCTCAAATGCAGTTTCACTTCTGTGCAAATCTACTGGGGTGATTCCCTCCTCAAATCCCTTTCAATCATATGGATACAGAACATGTCTATCAGCTAGCTGCTGGGGAACTGCCAGTGCCTGAGACAGCCCCCAACAGAACACACTCTCATCATGTCTGTGACTTCTAGATCACCTCTCCATGGCTACACTCCCTGCTTAAGTCAGCCACCTCAGACTCTCCTCAAATGATGGGTAACTTTGACTTCCAGTGCTGGTGAAATGTATCCTCTCACCACTTAATTCCTCAAAGCCAGTGTAACTCTGGCTACTTCTAAGTTTATATAACATAGGCATTTTCTCCTACTTTTTTCCCCTGGAGTTGCAACATATCCTGGCTTCCTCTACAAGTTCTTTGAGTATCTTCACCTCAGTACAAGTCATGTACATGTACAAATACAAATATTCTTCAGTAAGGGCAAAACCCACTTCAACAAGTTCCAAGGAATCCAGTTGCTTTTTCCAAACTCTACACGTTGTTAGGTCCCCTTGCTCATGTCTAAACAGGAGATGAGCTGGGGCATGCGTAGTACTGTCTTTGACCACCATTTGGTTTTGTGGGGTGGATTAGACAGAGGAGGCGACCGTGAATATTGAAGCAGTTTCTAGTTATGAGTGATTTTCATTTATTCACTCTGTTCTTTGAGAACAGATGTTTTGCCTATTGCCAGATACAAGATAATAAATGTAATGTCCCTTTATTTACTGTGATCTGAATCAACAAGGAGATGAGATGTAGGCTCTTATATGAAATTACCTACCTAAAAAATTCATACAGTAAAATTCAAGAGACGGTATTTACCCATAGACTGCAGATCCTTTGACGCAGTAACAGAAAGCTAGAGTAACACCTACAAAGAACAATCCTGTGGCAGAGAAAAACACAGTTAAAGGTGCTATTTTGTGTCCCCTACTGTACGTACACCTTGCTTACTTGTCTTCTACTCCATACTGTTTCTCTGCTCACAAGCTACTGCGTATTTTAGTATTTTACTATCCTGAGCAAAATTCACATCTGTAGCAGACTCATGATTGTCCTTAATGTAAGGCACACAGTATTTAAGCTTAAGGAAGCCAGTCACATTGAAAGTCCTTGTAGTCTGAATCTTACATATTCAAAAGTGTACACTTCTGGGACACGTAAGGCTTTTTTTTTTATTTTTAGAACATATCTTTTAATGCCAAAAGGTAACAGCCACTATTAAATTTTCACTTAAATGCAACCTGAATACCACTGCAGACACAGTATACAAAGATCACCTACAGACAGTTATGTACACAAGCCATCAGATGTGCCACCTAACGTTTACCACTTCTCTTTCTCTGTTTTGTTTCTTTGTTTTCTTTTTACAAGTGGACTGACATAGCTTTTAACATTTACTCATTTGGGCAAGTAACCATACCACCAAGCAAAGGCAAATGTACACACATACTGGAACAAACTTACTGGAACCTAAAATTTGTTCTCTTCACAAACAAAAAAAGGCTTATTTTGAAGCAGATTCGAACAAGTTTGTCCAAAGTAATTCCAGCAACATGCATCCCTGATCGTCTACCTTCATCTAGCCTTCTTTTTAAAAATGTTACAGATGTCCTTTATAAAAGGCACGTTTGGCAGCAACTAAAATTGTCACGCATCTGGCATATGGTTTTTTATTTTGTTTTTCCCTTTCAACTTTTCAGCCACCTGATACAGGATTACACATCTGCTGGCTATGAAGTGAAAAAAAAAAAAGTGACTTATTCTTTATTTTGTTTGCCTTATAATGATGCAGCAGTTGGCTACTTAATGCACTATTTTCCACTGAAGACAAAAAGGAAATTTGCTCACAGCTGACAGAAAAATGCACTTAAGGGTAGTTTTTTTTTAAATGGAAAATAAGGCATGGAATTTACAAAGTAAGTTAAAAGCATTTTTGTTTTTATAACTATATTGGGCCACAGGTTTTCTCCTTGATGAATAAGAGCTGAAAAAGGCTTCAGCCCATGCATCATCTAGGTTTTGAAAAGACAATTCAACAACTAAAAAAGGGTATTTTGAGGTGGGGGAGACAGCCCATAAGAATTTGAGAACTTTTTACTATCATCTTAAAACAGTCTTTTTTAACAACTCCCTCCTTGCTGGCTGGAAAAGGCAGCAAAGAGAGTCAAGGAAGGACTTTTACATACTGCAGCTAACTACACTGCTCACAGCAGCAAAGCATTAAGAAACATTTTGTTTAACTTACAAATTATATGAAAGACAAACATTCATGAACGAGGGGCTCTTGCTAGTAGAGCTTAAATTGCAGCAATACTAGACATACTAGTAGCAGAGGCTGCCTCTGTAAAACGCCACACTAGGTTGAGACAACAGCCACAAAGAGGGCAACTGATGCTTATTATAATGCACTGGCATCGCCACACAGCCTGCTGCAGTGCAAATTTGTTCCAGCACTTCTTCAGGCTGAAAAGAAACTTCCTTGTACATAACAAAATAAAACCACCTTCCTGAAGCCAAATAATCTACTACATTCAACAGCTTGGTACCTCTCACCAAGCTTGAATCGGACCCAGTTCAACAGAAAGTCTAATTTAAGGTACATGCAAAAGAAAAATAATTAAACACCCCACAATGTCAATCTAAATCTTGAAGGATCTAAATCCAGTGCATTAGCATCAACATACTCTTACTGAGACAGACCTCTCCCTCCCAGATTTAAGAGAGGGGCATATTAGAGAAGTAGGTTAGCCCCCACTGGAGGCGGCTTCTTGAGAATGGAGCACTCAAGTGCTTCCACGGTATTGATCCTCAAGCAAGATAATGTTCTCTGTTAGCAGACAGTTACAGAAAAACTTTGCAGGGGCTGCCGAACATCATGACAACAGCATGTACCTTGGCAGCATGATAGCTGACTTTCCATACAGCATGCTGAACAGAAGTAAATGCACGGCACTTGAAAAAATCATAGACTCATAGAATGGTTTGGGTTAGAAGGGACCTTTAAAGGTCATCCAGTCCAGTCCCCCTGCAAAGACCAGGGACATCTTCAAGCAGATCAGATTGCCAGAGCCCCGTCCAACCTGACCTTGAATGTTTCCAGGGATGGGGCATCTACCACCTCTCTGGGCAACCTGTGCCAGTGTTGCACCAACCTCACTGTAAAAAACTTCCTCCTTGTATCTATTCTAAATCTACCCTCTTTCAGTTTAAAACCATTACCCCTTGTCCTATCGCTACAGGCCCTACTAAGAAGTGTGTCCCCACCTTTCTTATAAGCCTCCTTTAAGTATTGAAAGGCCACAACAAGGTCTCCCCGTAGCCCTCTCTTCTCCAGGCTAAACAACCTCCAACTCTCTCAGCCTGTCTTCATAGGAAAGGTGTTCCATCCCTCTGATCAGTTTTGTGGCCCTCTCTGGACCTGCTCCAACAGGTCCATGTCTTTCCTGTGCTGAGGACTCCAGAGCTGGATGCAGTACTGCGGAGGGGGTCTCGCCAGAGTGGAGTAGAGGGGGAGAATCACCTTCCTTGACCTGCTGGTTACACTTCTTTTTATGCAGCTCAGGGTGCATTTGGCTTTCTGGGCTGCGAGCACACATTGCCGGCGCATGTCCAGCTTTTCATCCACCAATACCCACAAGCCCTTCTCGGCAGGGCTGCTCTTAATCCCTTCGTCCTCCAGCCTGTATTGATACCAGGGGTTGCCCCGATCCAGGTGCAGGACCTTGCACCTGGAATCCTAGTAATTCCAAATTCCCAGAGGGCTCTTCTGAGCTAACACACAACCATGACACTGGATGAAAACGAACAAACCCAGATTATGCTCCACTGCTGCACTAGACTATATATAAAGTAGAAATCTTGAGATGAAAGAGCACAAATTGTTAAGTACCGCACCTATAAAGTTCTGCTGAACTTTATAACCCTGCCTACAGAGTCTGCAGTTGTTTAGGCTGACTTTTAGCCATACATCAGCACTCTAGAGTAACAGAGCAACTCACCTAGCCTCCACACAAGCATGTTTCATTGTCCAAGCCACATCATCATCCCAGGCCCCATGACCATCCAGGATCATTTTATCAAGGAGACAGATAGCATCATTAAAATGATTTCATTTTCTATGTGAAAAGTATTGTCACTAATGCAAACATCGTCCAAATAGGAAGATTAAATAATTAACAACACAAAGCTGTCATTAGACAAACCAGTGGCTTAGCAGTTGTACTCAAAACTCCTATTCTAAACGCAACTGGTTTGATTCTCACCCAGTCTTTTCTGTTTGCAGCAGAGTCTACACCATGATTTGTACACTGTATGACTGACCCATTCTGCTGGGCTCCAAAGCACATTTAAGTTAGGTTCTTGCATGATGACCATTATCACCTGTCTTCTGAGTACCTCACCAGTAAAGCACTTTTATTCTCAACCACAAAGATGCAAAAGAGCATTCCTTATTTCACAAAGGGAAACAGAGAACCCACTACCATTCAAGAAATCTGTTGATTAGCAGGATCCATGTGAGGTCTCTCCTTGTAGCCGAGTAACCTAACCACTAGACCATTCCTTCTGCCTGGGCTGTCTTGGCTGCAAAATAGCACAGACAAGAGTGTACAGAAGAGATACAGATGAGAAAGTCTAAATTTAAGGAGTCTTCCTGGCAATCCACTGATGAGCCAGTAGTTCAGATGACATTGTCAACAGTATGCCCATCATGGTGTTTATACCCAAAGAACTGACAACCTAAACTATGCCTCCTGTAGCCTGAGGGACCACATAATGTTCTCCTCTGAAGCCAAGGTTTAGAGATCTTCACTTTTTCTTCTTTTGCCAGGAAAATGTTTCAAAACAAACATTGTTAAAGACATTAAAGAAGGAATACAACTGACAAATTTCAACATTTCACCATGATGAAAACTGCTGTTCTTGTTGATGAAAGCAGAACAATTTCTGAAATGTAACGACCACACTAAAGGATCAAGGGGCACTGATCAATGGCATTGCAGAAAGCATTAAAAAAGGTGATTTCCATCATCATTCGACTAACACCATCCCTAACGACGCGGCTTTCCAAGATGCTGAAATGTATTCTTCTTCCAAAGAGGAAACGTGATAGAATTTTACTTTTGACCCATGAGACATATTAACTGAACATGAGATATTTTACGCATCACATACATACTGTAGTGCAGATTCTAGAGCTTCTTTTCTTCAATAACTGCCACGCATTACTGTCACAGTATTGTCTAGAGTTGAACAGCAGTACATAGGTTTATGGATAATCCATGTCATGATACTTATACCAGTACATGCTCTGTCATGTGTATTTTGGACATAGAAAGCTACTGTAAAGATTAATATAAGTTTGAATTTTTCTAACAAGTGTCATACAGGAGGTGTGAGTAGTTTTATAATGTATAATAATTCACTTTGGGTGTAACTCAGCTTCTCAAGTATTACTCAATTATTACTTTGTAATGCATGCCAAAACAGACTTCTCTCTATTACTAAAATACATACACTGAACTAGTAAAAATATGTACCACAACATGTGCTTTTATCCCTTTCAGTGCTTAACTGAAAAACTGCGTTGTACATTTGTCCGTGTAATAATTTAATATATATCAGCCAAACATATCTGTATCTTTATTTCAATTAAATTAAAAACAATCTGCAAGTATATTTATGCAATGTTCACTATATACACATGATTTATGCAACTGCAAGGCAATTCTATGTATGCTGATTAATCTATGGTTAGTAAAACATGACAATATCTATGGAAGTTGACCAGTGAATGCTCCTTTTCACAAGTGACTGTTTTCATGGCATGAAAAAGAATAGCTACTAGCCATGAAATGGATTATCAGTAAACCTTAAAAAGAATGTGACATAACCTAGCAGAGACTAACAGTCTTCTAAATGTAGTAGTATATTTACTTCGGATGATAGTGCTGCTTTTTAAAAAAAAAATTCGCTGTCATCTTAATGATGTAAGACTTTCAACTGCTCTATCTAAAGAAAGCAATAATTAGACATTATGCTTCCTGGCAAAAATTTATTTTTGAACTGGCACCATAATATTTAAGAAAATAATAATAAAGTACCTCTTTGGTGAAGCCTAGGTACCCCCTACTACTCATTTTAACAACTTGTAAACAGGACTGCAATACAGTGCTTCGCCTTAATTCTAGCTCAGTTAGGTACCACAGATCTTCCTCACAGTCCTTCTCATAATTTTAGGAAGGTATTTTAAAGCAGGGAGTAAAGCAAAGGAAAATTAAGAAGGATATAAAGTTCCCTGTTTGAGATTTAAAAAAAGTGCATAATGTTTTCATTCCAAAAACTGTGCCACTGCATGGAACTGATGCATACCAGACTGTTTTCCTTCCTGTACTGGACATTATTGATCATTACACAAACACAGTCTCTGCTCATTGGCCAAAGAAGTCTCTCAAGTCTCTTTTCTGGTACAATCAGTTGTCCAATTACTTTACAACAATGTCCTGCATACCAAAACAAGAATAGCAAGTTAACCGGTTTTTCCACTAGAATGTCCGATTTCGTAATTCCTTTTCTGTACACTGCATTTCCAATCTACTGGAAAGCTTTTAGTGTTTGGCATACACATCCCAACTCCTTGGCACCGCCAGGTTCAGTGCATCCATTGCCAGCAACAGACGTAGCACCAGGAAAATGCGACTCCCAGCACAAGAGTCAGTTCAGGAGGAGTGGGCATTCTCCAGCAATGGTGGTCCGTCTCGATGCATCGATGGGTGTGTGTGCTCCCTTTTGTAAGTTTTTGGAGGAAGCTTTGGGATATGTTGAGAAGTGCTTTGTCGTGGAGGAACAGGTGGTCCAGCAACAGAATGGAGGTCCACATCTTGTGGTATCAAAGGTGGTGATGGAAGATGCCTCCGTGCTACATGTGGAGAAGGTGTCTGAGGGGGAGGGGGAGTAAATGGAGATGGACTGTTTGGGAAAAAGGTGTTACCAAGTTCACTTTTTCTCCCCAACGGTGGAGGCTGAAGGTGTAGTGGTGAGCTAGAGAAAACATCTGGAGTTCGCACAGGTTCTCGTGGTGGTAACACAGGAGGGCTTTCAGGAGGGTCAGAGATGCAGGTCCGGTCAGGCACTGAGTACCTTGGTGAATACACTTTAGAGGTTGGTTGCCTAGGAGGGATTGCTGGTGGGCTGTCCAGGTGCGCAGAAGTAATCTGAGGTACACAAACATTTTGTTCAATAAAACTTTAGAGTGGTAGTAAAGAACAGGAGACCCTGCTGTGAAATGGAAGCAGAGCTCCTGCCCTGCAGATTGCTCTTATCCAGTTAAAGAGGAGGCACAGCAAGCAGGTACAGAATGAAGATAGGTAGTAAGAAAGCATAAGGGAGTGGCGGTGCCTGAAAAACATGTTTCTCAGAGTGATGCGAACAGAAAAGACAGAGACTGGATGTACGGGGGGAGAGCAGGGGTATACCAATACACGAGTTAACAGCCAAGGATGGAAGGAATGAGGATGCACACAGAGGGACAAAGGCAAGGCAAAGAATGGCCAAAGCAACAATTTCCATGCTAGTTCCAGGTCTGCTTGCCGGGTAGATCTGAATATCTTCCACCACCTCCCCAGTAACAGGCACTTGGGGTAGGTAATAACACCAGATATTTCTACAAGAAAATGAGGAAAAGGGAGAGGCAGATGATGCTGAACAAGGAAAAAAAATAAACTATGCTCAGAAGGTAGAATTAAGTAGTCAGAATTACTGAAGTAAACAGTTCCCAAGCTGCAGACCACACTGACAGGGTAATTGGTCTCCAACACCCTACAGAATCACAGAATCATCAGGGTCGGAAGGGACCTCTGGAGATCAGCTAGTCCAATGCCTCTGCCAAAGCAGGTTCACCTACAGCAAGTTACACAGGAACACATTCAGGCGGGTTCTGATTAGCTCCAGAGAAGGAGACTCCACCAGCTCTCTGGACAGCCTGTTCCAGCGCTCTGCTACCCTCAAAGCATAGAAGTTCTTCCTCACATTAAGATGAAATTTCCTGAGTTTCAGTGTGTGCCTGTTGCCCCTTAACCTGTCGCTGAGCACCACTGAAAAGAGTCTGGTTCCACCTTCTTGATATCCACCCTTAAGGTATTTATAAATATTGATCAGATCTCCTCTCAGTCTTCTCTTCTCCAGGCTGAACAGACACAGTTCTCAGCCTTTATACCATGTGTGATGTGTTAAACTGCCGGCTGACAGCATAGTCACCTGTAGTCTGAAAATAACTACTTGCTGAAGAGCCATATACAAGCCCTCTTCAAAGACATACATGCTCTGAAGTAATTTTGAGTGGGGTTTTCAAATCCACCCAGTTCTCTGAAGTCACAAACCAGTTCCTGCTGGAATCAAGAGACATTTGACACTGTCTGCAACAAAGGTTGGATCAGAACCCAAATGTCAGACAAACGCAAAAGGAAAATGTAGCAATGGCTCAAGGAGGCAGGCAGACAGGACAGGTAATCAAGAATGGAAAGAAAGCACTGAGCACCACAGTCTAAGGGTCAAATACTCTAATGAACCTTTTTAGAGGACTGAGGTGTTTACATCACTTTCCATCATCACTATTCTTCAATTCTTTACCCCCATTCATACACCCAAAATGATACTCTGGGATAATCATCACAGATGGAAGGATCTGCCTGAAGCCTCAAGTTCTCACAGGCAATGCAAGGGCCTGAGCATAGCGGATTAGTAGACAAGAGATATTTCTAACCATAAATTTAGGTCCTATCTGTTAATTTTCATTCACTTGGGATCAGGACATAATGAGGTAGAGCTGTGAAGGCTTGAAATATATGGCTGGTTACTCTTTCACATACCGTTCTTCAAAAATACACGTACTATCTTTAAGAGATACTTCTCTATCACACCCTGCCCTCTGCTCCCAGAAAAAATGCCCTTTTTTCTCCTTACTTACTTTTGATGGGGAGGATTCAGCTGGGGCAGACTCTGGTCTCCTTCGTGGAGGAACTGGAGGGGGGACATGAGCTTCATCTGAATTTTTGGTAAAGTTTATGGATGACACAGAAGCAGATCCTAGCAGACATAAAAAAAAAATAATCCTGATAATGATGAACTTTTGTTCGACTCATACTATTTTCTTTATTGCTGCCAATAAGGGTGTCATAAATAATAATTGCTCATAAAAAGCAGCATGAATCAAGAAGGTGTTAAAGAAAGACAATGAAATAACCCTAGATTTAACTTGCAGCTTCCAGACAAACTGTTTTTCTGAGCTGCAATCATCTCTGTGGCCATCAGGCCCCGCACATTCGTAAGTAATCCTCAAGACCAAAACTCCACCACAAAGTTGTTTTTGTATCACAACAGCACTAAAACAGTATCCTGAACCTGCAGTCAATGGCCCAGCCCAACAATGAAGAAATATCTTCTTCTGAAGAGGTATTCCAGAGACCTAGCTTGGACACTCAGCAATGTCACTGCTCTGCTAAGCAACTTCTGCTTTTAGCAAGTCATTTCACCTCCTTGTGGCAACCAGATGAACGCAGGACTACCTTGTACTTCCTTTGAAAGCCTTCATACAGGAAAGGAGGCTATGTTCGCTATTAACTACTGAAGGCACACCATAAAATATGATCTTCCTTGTATGTTGGTGAAGACAGAAGACAAATAGGGGTGGATGGGTCCCGATGGATTTAAAGCAGGGAAATACTGATTTTAAGTTAGGCAGGAAAACCAGCCACATGCGCTGACACCAATTTGGAATAGCAGACAGCAGAATAAGACACCCACAAAAAACTAATTTTTATTCTCATGGTTCACCATCAAACAGATACTCACTGAATGAATTCACCACATTAGATATGTATGTCAGCAAATCCCACAAATGTTTGTTTGGGACATATATGGGCACTACAGATATATCTCTGCCTTCTGTTTTGACAGTTTCTCCAAAGACATGTAATACTCTCTATGTAACACACCTAATTCTGTTCAGTTTCTCCCTTTAGAATAAAGACTTATTAAAAGAAAAAAAGGAATAAAACACACTGAAAGTTTTTTTGCTGCTGCAAGGAGATAAAAGCAACTATTTCTAAAGTCACTTTAGAAGACTAAACATGATTTCACCCATTTAACACCATGAAATCTAATACACAGATTCTTGGTAGACTATCTATTAGCACCTACTTGCATGAAAAGGACTTGAAGGATCCGAGTCAAACACACTGCAGGCATCTGTAGTACTTGAAGTAGCAGAAGCAGGGGGAGGGGTCAAAGGTGTTCGGGGAGAGTTTGGTGCAGATGCTGTAGTTTCAGTCTCACTCTCTGGGATGCGGCTGTAACTAATTTTCCTTGGCTCCTGTTGCAGGGGTGTAGGATGTCTCATGGTACCTGGCCTTGGATTAGAGGGACGAACACCTGGGGACTTGAGGGGATAGTTGTATTTTTTGGGCTGAAATGACAAAAAAGATAGTATCTATCAAAATCAAAAGGTCACAAGATGATCTAAATGTAGCTTTGTATTTATGAAGTTAGAGACCTAAAATCCCTTCTCCAATCTGTGAAAGACAAGTGTAAGCACTTCTCAAAAAAAATTTAAAAAATAAATTGAATACTAACAAATCTTGGTGGAGGCTTGACATTTCGCGGCTCTATCTCTAGTGACTTGTTGAACAGATAATCTGTAAATTCTGTTTCCATGCTGCTTCCCATTGGATTCAAGTTTTCAAAAAATCTCTGAAATACAAGAAGGTAGAAAACTTGTCAGCTAAGCTACTTCTTAGCAGCTTAGTACTGTTTGTTTATACTGCACAAATGACCCCAGTTGTTCCAGAGAAGAGAGAAAATGCTGGAGTCAGAAGTAATGATAGATATTTAAGTTATTAAAATGTTTGTTGCCAGCCCTTTGCTGGGCATTGCTACTGCTATGCTTGGCCTGACAACCAACTGTGCAATTACCCTAAATACTTTCCGCAGTGCAAAAATCAGATCAGGAAGACTCCTCTCACAATGCATTTTGTTAAACCCTGAGGAAAACAAATAACAAAAGAAAATCTTGCAGAATCTCTCAAGATAACCTGTCCTATGACCCTTTGAAAGTATATAGCTCAAAAGATATCAAAAAAAAAAAAAAGAAAAGGAAGAAAGGAAAGCAAACAGAGAGAAGACTGCTTAGAGAACATCACAGACCAAGGAGAACAAAGGTCAGGAGAAAGAAAAATGTGAGCATCATCACTGCCAACACATGATGTAAACACAGTGCTATCAGGTAAACCTGGAAAGGCAGTGTAACAGAGGAGGAAAAATACAATTGGGCTCACTGGACAAATAAACGCAGCTGAGTGAAGTACAGTGAGAATCTGGTAGTTTCTGTTCCTGTTTAAAACTGATCAGTAAGAAGATCTACCTACCAACATCTCAATAGCTGGGGGGGGAAAAAAAAAACCAAACACAGAAAACAAACCAAAACCCACCAAACTACAAGCATTGAGCTTTCTGCCCTTTCTTACAGTGAGACCTGAGAGAGATTTTTATGACAGACCTTCTGCTCATCTCTGATTCAGTCTGATGGAATCTATGTGAATTCAGTCTATCTTTATGGTCTATCAGCTGACAGAGTCACCACAAAAGTAGCTCAGTGCATGGACTCAAGGAAATAATGCCACTTACCCTGATGTCAAATTCCACTCTTAAACAATATGGCTGGTTCTGGTACTGCTGTATCTCTCCTGTTATTTCAGCTACCTTTCTTCTCTTGCTGAAGTTTATAAGTTCTTTCCCATGTCGCTTTAGAAATTCAGGGTTGCCTTCTTCTGTTTTCAAAATGTTAGTTAAGTAAATCCCTAAAGAGCACACAGAAGAGGTTCTCAACATATGATACAAAGCAAGGAGGAAGTCACATGACTGGAATACTAAGAATTCTTGAAGAATTTAATTTGTGCACTCTAATTATTTAGAAAAATTCCCTGTTAGAGTTAATAAGAGAATTGCATCTAATTTTCAAATAAGGGCAACAATTTAATTATTTTAATATGCCTTTTCCAGAAACCTTCCTTTTTTGGATGAAAATCTCAAAGTTTCTGCATCTTTCTATTGTTTAGGAAACTCACACAACTGAACATTACTAGCTTTTTTCAAGACAAGAGTACACTGAACTCAAGTGCTTTCTCTCAACAGTTCTGTCTCAATCCAGCTCTATTCCATTAGAGGACCCAGCTAGGCTCCAAAAAATCATTTTCAAGTCTTACTCTTCTGTTCCACTCTCTACTCCTGGCTTCATAACTGCATCAAATCATTTCAAGACTAGAAAGAAAACAGCGCTCTCAAGTCCACAGATAATGTATCTGGAACTGTCATTATGACTCTTCTAAGTATAACTTGAGAGAAAGCACTGAAGCTATTCGCCTGTGATCCTGCTAACCTCTACTCATCTCTGAGGCAGGACAGTAGGTTTCTTAGTTGATCTTATCTTTCTTTGGAGAGCTCTGGAGTATATTTTTCCTCAATCTGTAAAAGGCCAAAAAAGCCATCAACACTATTTTCTTTCAGTTTTGGCCTGAAGCCTATGCTGGACAAGTGTAATGTCCAGAGCTGGAAGTGATCTGCAGCAAACATCGAAGTAGCTTGCTAAAGAACAGGAATGCCATGTGCTTAACTTCACAATTTGCTAAACGTCAGAAATTCCAAGCAATCTACCTGAAAGAAGAACTGTTAAGCCTGACGATAAAGAAGCAGCTTTCTTCCCAAACTTTGTTTTTATAGAAATAAGACTTTTAAAATAGAAATAAGACTCTAGTTATAAGACATTATAAAAATTAAAACTCTAGCTTTATTTCTTGGAATTCTTGATGGGGAAGGAGGTCCTTCTTTCTCTACTAGTCAACCGCAATAATATTTTTAATGTGACTGCCTTCTATTTAAGGCATTTATGGTCACAACACAGTTCAAAACACATTCAAAGTAAAAATAAGTAAATAGGTAAATAAGATACCACAGATACACTTATGAATAGTCACTTTTCTTTTTCTTTCACATATATGCAATTAATGTCTGGGCACCTGAAATTCAAACCCAAGTGTCCTGCTAAAACTCACTTCTCACTGTTGTTCGTACTCTGTTCAGTGCCATAGCTCAATACTTTCCAAATTTTTATGGACAATACAGCCCATTCACACGAAACGTACTTACCAAAAAAAGGCACACAAGGAGGATTAATGGACCTGAGTTTTGCCAAGTATTTCTTATAATGATCCTCACTCAGCTCATAAGCTTCTTCTAAAATCTTCTTCTGGCGACTTGGAATTTGCTAAAAAAAAAAAAAAAGAGATGAAACAGGCTGTTTGGAAAGATAGGGTAAGGTGTAGCCCAGCAACAATACTGAGAGTAATGGTCTCCCACTGATATTCAAGTCAGTGACCATGAGGACAGTGGCCCAACATCTCAGGATCTTGCTACCTTTTTCTGCCTTTCTTAAGTAAGGATTGATTTCTTGCTTCTGAAACCAAGAAAAAAACCCTCTCTATTACACCCTGATTGACTAATTCGTTGGGGGATTTCCCTTCCTCGCTCCTTCTTTGAAGGACAAGCTCACTGAAAAGCCAGGCTTTTAGTGCAGCTAAGGTGCACTGCATTACACTTCCATACCAAAAAAGGAAAATTTCACTGTACCTCAAATGTGTGATCCAATCTGTACACTGCTGCAGAGTTCATAGCACTGACAATCTCAAGGACACCATTAAAGTTGTTTAGCTCTTGAAAAACTTGCAGGATCTCAATTATCCGGCTCACTACAATTACTCTTTCTTCTAGGTTTTCTGTTTCTACAATGCACCTAAATGCACAAGAATATTTGATTTTGTGTTAAAGCATTGATAAGTTCTCCAAAATCAAATATCAACTTGTAACACAAATAGAAAAGTTTATCAAATTACTTGACACAGTTTTGAACTGTTCAGGATAAGAGGGCATAGTCTCAAACTGCGCCAGGGGAGGTTCAGGTTAGACATTAGGAGGCATTTCTTCACAGAAAGGGTTGTTAGAGATTGGAATGGGCTGCCCAGGGAGGTGGTGGAGTCACCATCCCTGGAGGTGTTTAAGAAAAAACTGGATGTGGCACTCAGTGCCATAGTCTAGTTGACATGGTAGTGTTAGAGCAAAGGTTGGACTCGATGATCCCAGAGGACTCTTCCAACCTAATTGATTCTGTGATTCTGTGAAAATGTTTAGAGAATAAACATTTGAAAATATTCTAAGAATAAAAAGCTAAGCCCATTACGGTAAAATTCTCACAGGGACCAGTTGTAGCATCTAAACATGACTTAAAACTGGAATTCTTCCAGAACAGAATTTTTCACAGTATACTTCTGAAGGGACTGTAAATGTCCAGAAATAGAGCAGGTGCAGATTCAGGAAAGTCACTTACTTTTCAAACCACAAAGTGAGGTTAGTTGTATGCCTTATCATTTTGAGAAGGTTGGGAGAATTAATTTCTTTATCTTCTTTTGTCCACACACTTCCAACTAGTTCAGATGGCTGCACAGCTCTAGAAAAGTAGATGCATGTATCAAAAAATGTAATCAAAAGCAGGAAAGAAGATACTATTTTCCCCAAACCTCTTTATTTCCAGTGAATTTGGAATTAATATTTGGAATTAAATTCTTAAGGTATCACTTCTCTTCTATAATGTTAGGCTCCCCACATGACTAAGTGACTGCTATTTCCACACTTTTTTAGTGTGTAAATATTTCTTAATTTATGTGACTATTAACCACCTCTGTTCATCTAAATGAAGACTGAAGTCTACATCTCATTCACCATAATAAAATGCAAGCTTCCAACACCTGAACAACCTCTCTCAGACAGCTGGTGAAATCTGACATGGTCCATAATTTGCTTCACAAACTAGGATATGAAGAAAACTGATTTAATTAATGTTCATACTTCTCAAAGGTTGAGCTACTTGGAAAATATCAAGAGAAACCTGCAGCATGATGCAATTAACAGTATGCATCAGTCACATGTACTGCATGTTAACTTGGGGAGGACAAGACACATACTGGTTTTTAGAATTTTTTTCTGAAAAAATAGCAATTAATATACAGCACTGGTAAAGTCCCTTGACCTACCGTGGGGCTTCACAGCAGGGACCCGCAGAAACAATTTCATGCTGGAGAATATTTTGGTTTGTGTCATGTGTTTTTCAATGGAGGAAAGTTACCTGTAAAAATCTGACTCAAGTAAAGTGAGCTGCCGAGCAATTTCTATTGGATGCAAAGTGAGCAAGTCAAAAGACTCTGTGTGTCCCGGTTTGCTTATGTGCCATTCAATCGCTGGAGGTGGGCTCTCAAAAGTAATGTTGTGACTTGGCCCAATGGCTTGTGCTTGCTTTTTCCGGTTGATTATCTTTGTGATTGATTCAACCCATTTCTTCATCGCTTTGCCTGGCACACAGAGAGAAAATTACTATTTAGTTACTCTTAATACTGTTTTTCCAAAGATGACAGTATAATTTAGAAATCTTTGGATTTAAACCCAAAATCTACTAAATTCAAGCAACCAAATATCCTTTAGAAGTGCATAAGTGGTGTTCTCACACAAGTCTCAAAGCACTCAAACATATAATGAAGAATTCCTCAACAGCCAATGCTAGGCATGCCAAGTTTGCCCAAGCAGAATTCAGAATACCCAAATTAGGCTCCTGCTCCAAATCTAGTGTTTTCCTTTCTTTTCTGGCTTTACAATGAGTTTACGGGAACTAACCTAATTTTGCCCAAAATGCACTTCTGTAAAAACCCTGAACTTTATACTTTGGGCAAAAGTACATGCTTACCTCAGATAACACAGAAGCGCATAATAACAAACAGGGAAAAGCTTCTCTACTGCATTTAGCATCAAAGCTCAGAATAAAACCCAAAGACCAAATGCTTGTTTAGCACTACACCGTAAGAATTTCATGCATGAGATAGCAAGTCCATTGAAAATTTACCAGTAATCCACTTTAAACTAGCTGGCTCATTTTCCCCCCTCTTTTTAATTGCTAAATAACCATTAAATACTTCTCTAACACAGTGTTTTCCTACAAACTGCTCCTTTAGCTGTCTCAGTTTTTCTTACAAGGGAACAGGAAAGAGCTGTAGAATGACAACTGGAAGGTATCCTACAGGTCTAATATGCACTGTGAAATTGCTGAAAAATCTTTGCTTCAAGGAAATAGTGGTTTCCACCATCAAACTTTTACAAAAACTACCCCTGTGTGTAGCTTAAGAGGACAATCAAAGCAATTATTCTGTCCTGATCATCACTCAGTTCTTGTTATTTTGCATTATTTCAGTTCCTCTATAACAAAACAAATACTTATTTATCAGGATGTAAATAGCATTCATTCTTCTGAACAGGGGCCAGACTTTGAATAATAGTGGGGTTTTTTTAATTAAGGTTTATTTTATATCCTTTGTGAAGTATTTAATAAGCAGTCAGTCCTGTTTTTCTTTATATGCTCAGTGAAATGAAAAGTGATCCCATTCCATACCTTTGAAAAGGGATGCTTTATGATAAATCCCATCACTTAAGAAACCATAAGTACCTCTTACTGTCCCAATGAATTCCTCCAAACGTTGCAGAAGATCAGCATCTCTTTCAAAGTCATAGAAGTGGTGTTCTACCCAGTGTCGACATACATTTAACACTCTGCAAAAGTAAATGTTAAGCAAGCACTCTACAATGCAGTCTATCTTCACATCTAGCATTTCAAGGCTTTTAGTAGGCGAGGGTTCACAGGAATATCAGAATCAGCAGACTAAATGCAATTATTCTACTGTCTGCATTTCACCAGCAACCAGCTATAAGCATTTTTCTACTTCAAGTTTAAACAAGTCAGAGTAATGCTATTGTTCATAAAAAGAACATTATCTAAAATGTTCTCTGCCTACACCTTTGTGGCACACTTATGTTGTATAGCCTTGCAGAAACACAGATTTAAAAGAAAAGGCAAGTGTAAGAAACTAATTTGCACGCTAATAGTCTAAAACTCAGTGCAAGCCTTTCCCAAGGCTTTTCAGGCCATGAATTCAAATTCCCAGCAGTAGCAAGTTCAAAATCGCTGACTGCCTATGCACGGTCTCTGTCAAAGCATCTACAGGAAAGGTTGCTGGTATCACAAAGAGTCACTGCATCCAAAAGACGGTACTTGAAAAGACTTAAAGTAGTCAGTTTGGCTCACATTGATGCAATACTCACCGTAGCTGCACTGGTTGAATGTACTCTTTCCTAAATCTTTTTAACTCTGCACTAATAGGCTGGTCTCCGTTCTCCATAGCAATACGATCAGCTTCTGTTGGCTCAGGTTCTGGAATTTCAAATCTAGCACAGAAGATGGGTATAAGCACTAGACTCCTATTACACTAATCTTACTCACAGCATGCATGAATAAAATGTCAATTAAGGATAACTCAAAATTCAGAATGTTTCCACGTCAGAATCTTACATCTTGGTAAGCACAGAGGAAGATTTGCTAAATTCAATAACAATACAGATTTCAAAGACAAAACTGTGGGATGCTGGAAGTTACAGGGGCTACCTGAACAATCCTAAAGCTTCTGGATATAACTTGCACATTTTACTTGCAAACCTTGAATTTGACAACTTTTTAAGAAGTGGAGTGAATCAAAACCAACTGGAAAACAAAAATCTTACACACTGTACTCCAAGTAAAAATTAAAAAAAAAAATAAAAAATTTGCACTTTGTATGAACAATATTTTTAACAGTGGCATACCTTTCAATTAGCAGACTCAGCAACTCTTGAGGTTTACAGAAGGATCTATATGTTGTGAGAAAAGTCCGAACAAAGTTGGGATCTAAGACAAAGAATAATTTTATGCTCATGTCAGCAACTACCTAGGTTTTTGTTATACTTTAAAATAACTTTAAGTATCCTTTAAAATTAAGGATGCTGGCTTATCAGTTTACAGAGAAGATGATGTAAACCAAAATTTGGTAACAATTCAGAACCTCTTAAAATAGCAATACAAAGCAGAATTTAAAACCAATTTTTATTCTGTTGAAAATTCAAACCAATTACTTTTTCTTTCCCTTCAATTATTAAAAGACTAGATTCTTTTTCAGTAACTTTGAAAATAATAAATAGATTATTTTATTTATGAGCCATCCAGTAAAGAACTTTGTTTTTCACAATGATCAAGACAAGATAACTCAAAAGACACGGAAAGGAACTTTGCATTGGATAGAAATAGCCTCTTCAACGGGAGAATGTTTTCGCTAAACTGGTACAACTGATAATCAGTTGTAGTCAGAGCAGGCTAGATATTTTTTCAGCTGACAGCTATACTTTGAGGTTATATTTATTTCACTTCAAGAAAATCAACAGATTTCATTTAAATTGACTAATTACATATCAGTTCATTTAAAACATCCAAATGTGTTTTAAAAACAAGCAAGTATTCAAAACAGAAAACCAAAGTGTCTGCCTTAATTACAAAAGGAAAACCATTTGTTTTCAAGTATGAGGAAATGCAGTGACAGCACACTGGCACTGCACAGAGCTGACTAGAAACAAGGTTAACATTGTTATCACTGAGCAAAATTAACGAGTGGGTTGCAATGGCTTTGCATATTAAATCCATATACAGATTTTAAAAGTAAACCCCACTTGGTAATTTTTCTAACACGCAGTGGCTGAAGAGGAGCACACAGGACTTGAAAGAGGAGTTCCTATAGGCTGTAATGAAGAAAAACACGCCTGCGTTATTTGACCTAACACTATATTAAGCCATTAGACTTATTTCCTGGCATATGGGTTTTTAAGACCTTTTTTAAAATCCTCTTTAATTATTTACCAGCATCTTGTCCATTTGAATGAACATTCTACCTTTCTTAGATCCTACTAAGCTCTTCATTTGGGCAACAGTTTACTGTAAGGTGTCATACAGATTAACCATGTATGTAGCATTTCCTTGCATTGCTGCTGTATGCTAATTCCTGTTTCTTAAACAATTGGCTTTTCTGCTTTACCATCTGTACGTTCTTTGTTAACTCCATTTTTCTTATCATAATGCCTCTCCCACCTCTCCTTGAAAGTGTACAGTCTAAAATCCTTTTCAAAGGCAAAACTCTAAATCCTTTTGCACAAAGAAAGTCATCCCTGTCCCCATCATCCTCGTCATCAAAATACACAATTTTTGTTGTCCTAAAAACAAGCATAGAAGTAAGCACAGTAGCTCATGTTTTCACAGATTGCATTCTGTACACAGCATCCACTCTAAATAGATTTTGTCTACATGATAAAGAAAGCCTCCATAGCAATTAACATTTTCAGGTCACTGCAAGCTCCGAGTCATAGCTATTGCTATTTACAGGTAGAGTTAGTGTTTAAATCCACAATGCATATTGAATTTCAAATGAAGCAGATCAGAAAATCAAATCCAACCTTGTTATCTTACTAGCAAAATCTGTAACTCAAAATAGTGTACAATATACCAGCAAGCATTACAAAAATACAGACAACACCAGTTAGTCAGGATGTCTGCTCATGTGATAATTCTCTCTTCAATACAACCAATTTGAAAGCTAAAAAAGAACAATAACTTGTTCTACAAGGATTTATAAATAATCACCCTTGAATTCCTTAAGAAAGGAAACGGACACTATGATGACGCACAAGCACTCTTAACATATCAAAGCGTTAAAAATAGAAGAGCACTGCCCTATAGATAAAAAAAATTGCCATGACTTTCAAATCTTGGTACCACCTAACCCAGCTGCTCTTAAACAAGAATCAGGCAAAGGAGGAGATAATGAACACAGAAACACATTAAAACAGGTAAAACTCATCAGAATATGCAAATAGTGTCAGAACCTGGACTTCTAATCGAAGAGCAGTTTCTCTCATGTAAAAATATGGAAAGCTGCTTTTGCAGAGGAGATTTCTCCCTATTTTGCTGCTCCACTACAGGATGGCTTGGACAGTCTGCCGCACCTCATGGTCAGGTGGCTGTTAGGGCTGTCTCCCTGTCCTAGCTCCCGCAGTGGCTGGATGCCTCCTACCCCCAGTAGCACTGCTTCGTTAGAGCTAGGCTACCAGGCTGTCCCTGTTCCACAGCAAAACAGATCAATATTTCAGCTGATAAGCTGGTCTGTGCATTGTCAGGGAGGCGAGGGAAGAAAAATAAAAGGTCCTAACACCCATATCTACAAATGACATGGACTGTGTTGAGCTTCACGGACAACAATAAAGTCTGAACACAACCTGTACACTCCTCAATACGCAACTACCTAAACTGCTCTTCAGCTACTTGCAACAAATTGGTACCACCTCTACAATTTTATCTGTAATTATTCCTTATAGTATTTGACATACAAAGATCAAAACCTAGAGAAAGGTCACAGCTACGGTAAATACCGTCTTTAGACTGTCAGATCAAGGGTTGCCATAACCAGTCACACCACATTTGAAAAAAGTCACCTCAGAAAAGTAAGGGCTTGCTATTCTGGCATGTGAATATAAAGTCAGTAAATTCTTTTAAGATTACAATCATGCATACACAATCCTACATGGAGCAAGAAAAGCATTTCTATGGTCTATAGCTGTTTGGCTAGATATCACCAGAGTACTCATCTTCCCACATCTCCAAGCAAAACAGAAGCCTTGAAGTCTGCTGATATGTGTACAAAAGAAAAGCTAAAGGGTTACTATGGAAAGTTACTGCCTTACTCACTGCATCTCATAAAATGCAACAAAACACTGAATGATTTACATCGTAAATAGACCTTGTCTCCTGCACAACAGAGCATTTTTGGTTGAGTCACTATGTCTCTATTTCTTTATTCCCCTGGAAAAGACAGCACAGAATGGTTAGAACGATGACATTTTTCCTCATAGAAAATCAATTATAAAACAGAAGGTATAGAATGAAAGATAAGGGTGTTGAGAAATTATGTGCAACCTAGCAATTCAGCATTAAGTCCATGTACATTGCAGTAAGATCTTTAAGGCTACAAAGACAGGCTAAATACATTGCAAGACAACCATTTATTCTTTTGGTCAAATTTGTTCTCAGTTTTGTCATACAATAGTTTGGTCAATGTCACACATACCTACAAGGTTAGGCTTCAAGCAACCTACTTAAAGCTTTATTAAACAGAGGCTGTTACAAGCAGGGATTTAAATGACTGTGGACAACGGCAGATCTCATCAATTGATCTGAATTCTTCCTTGATGTTCTATGTGCTAGAAAGGCCAAAAAGACATACACATGCAACAAACTAACACAAGAGACATACTTCAACAAGCCACATGTACCTTAAAAACAGGCCTTTCAGTTTTATGGACCTGCAGAATGTAGTTTGTGGCTTCCTGGACAGAGACAACGCGTGGAGAGCACTGCCGAGCCTTCGGAGCAATGTCAAGGCTACAGCACCAAAGTCCCAGTGCGTATGGAAAGGGCAATTCTCAATGGTGCACTAGTTAGCCAAAGCAAAGCGAATGTCCACAAGGGCACTAATGAAGTACTATTTTTGCTAATTCTCTGCCAAATACACTGCCAGCTTTAAAAAAAAAAAAAAAAAAGGTGTCTGTCTTTCTCTAAGGCTGAATTGTTTTATTTTAACTTCCAAAACCATAAAATTATGTCATAAATCATGCCTGTAAAACTCAAAGCCAGGAGCTAGAAGTTTATAAAGTTACAAGAAAACGAAGACAGGCACAAAACTGCTCTAGCAAAAACTAGCAGCACGATATTGCATTTGGGTTTCTAATAAATGTTAGGAAAGTTCAACCGAAGGAAATGTGGAGAAGGGCAATAAAAGTAATGGAGTAAACAGTTGTATTTACAAGCATTTTAAAAATAAACAAAAGTACTAAACTACACTAATTATATTCTGCTTAGTCCCCAGTTCTTCCAAACAAATATTCCTGGTCTATGCAGTGTATCCAGGACTGAGCTGCAGAACAACAATTTAGGATAATCGTAGTGTAAAGAATAAAAAGAAAAAAAGAAGAAAAAAAAAAAAAAAGAATTTACAGTTGAATATGAGAAGCACTAATATCAAGATGCATGAAGTTTTAGAATAACTGACACACAGGTAGAATCAAAAAAATAACAAAAAAAAAATCCAAAGCCAAAACCCAAGCTGAAGATCCTGGGAAATTATCAAGAAAAATTGAGGTTGGACTGGATGATAACATAAATGCCTTGGATGTATCTTCAAGAGAAACAGAAACCCGAAGTCAAAAGTCCTTAAATCAAATCCCCAGTGAAGTTCTGACTAAGGCAAAGTTCCCAAGCCAAACTATGCAAGTGACTGCTTCTAGCAAGCTGATACTTGGTCTTTTCATTACACGTCAGCATGGACACAGGTAATAGTTGGTAGAGTACAACCCTCAACTGGAAACACTGCGCCCGTAATTCTCGCCTGCAATGCTGGCGCTTCGTGTGCCACCCAGCTTTGGAAGTCTCGAGGGAAGGCAATTCTTGTAGCCTGAGGCATACAGGAAAAAGGATTGTCTAGAGCTCAATTCCTGCAGGCCCCTGCCCCCCCATCCCTTACATGAGAATGATCTTATGCACTTGCATATCCTACTACATTCAGCCAAACAGGATTCACATTTTTAACTGCTACAGCAGTGCATATTTAGATCTCAAAACCTTAACACAAAAAGCATGTTAGAATATGTGCACTACAAAGCATATTCGCTTTCTACACACTTTATATATTTTGCTGCATGTATTTAACATAGAAAGAAAAGCATAAACTAGTCACCACCTTGAGTTTTGGCTATATAAATGAAGTGCCTCACCTGCATACATGTGGTAAGTCAGCCTCTCAATGAGCTTGACAACAGTTCCCGCCTTGATGATGGGGATTCCAGATTTGGGCTGCATGTTTTCTTCAAACACAATATTCTCTTCAGAGTCAGGTTCTGCAAACCTGTAAAGCTCGGGATTTGGAAATCTCATCTGCTCCTCTTTTTCTTCCTGCAACATTGTTACATCCAACATCCTTTCCAGCGTGCTTCTATATTGCAAAGATATCAATGCTGCCATCCAGTTGTTTTTATCTTCAGCTGATTTAGCAGCAAAAATAACACTGTTCTCATCTTTTAAGATGATTTCAAAAGCATGTCTGTACTCATTAGTGTCGTCTTTATCGTTGATTTGTACCTTTCGCATGAAGAACTTTTCTTTTAGACGATATTCTGCATTGCTAGCACCAGGAAGTCTTGGCTGGCCGTGATTTGACTTACAGCAAATCATCAAGCCATCAAATAGAAATATGTGTCTCTCGTGCTTTGCTCCCACACGTGTGAGCGTTCCTTCCATGATGAACTCATTACAGCATTGTCCAATGTCCTTACCCTCCCAACCATCAATATTTTTCTGGATTTCATTCATTTTCTTAATTGCTAGCTGTTTCCCCTTCATCTGCTGAGTATAGAATCGGCATGCAGATTCACTTCAGTGAAGGACAGGAGAAAGACAGCCTATTAGTATACACGTATCTAAACCCCACAACCACCACTAACAGCAAAACCACAAGATCATCTTGCTGAGTGGTGAGAATTCCACTGAGAATACAGTTTCAGCATTCAGTATCAGCACCACTGCAAGCCTTGACTAATGTTTCTCTTAAGTACATCATCTAAAAAATCTTCTACTTATCTTCTAGGCAATAAATGTTTTACCTAAACACAGGCAATCAGAAGTAGGCAAGCTGTTAGTGCTGCTTAGTCTAACACACCACTCATTTTCATAGCTGACAAAACAATTTTAGACTGCATTAATTTGAAAGAAGCACACTCAGAGAAAATAAGCTGTTCAATGCATCCATGTCCAGCCTGAAGATTACACTTTGCAGTACAGAACTTGTTTGGCAAAGAAAATATTGAAACAACTTTAAGAGCAAAAGCAGTATTTTAATGTGTTTAAATAACTACACAAATATTAGCATTAAATCAAACAGTAGATAGTATAATCCAAGAATTTGCTACAACAGTGCAACTAAGTATAGTTATCTACACATCTATTTCTACTATCCAGTGGTAATTTTAACTAGCCATTGCACAAAAAACTCTTCAGATTAAGTAGTTTTAAATTCAAGAGCATTCCCTTCTAATCACACAGAAATGTACTTTTACAATATTTGTAGGCGGATTTTTATTATCTGAGCATAATTAACCCACAAACGCCGTAACTTTCTACTTACCAGTGAATTCTCAGAACGTCTCAACTACCAATATGCAAGGACACATAGAAATTAGAACAGTTTTAAAACAATAACAAATTATCTTGGCTTTGATGTCACTTCCTCTGAAAAAGCAGGCTTGCCACAAACTATTTTGTTCATTGTTTACTAAAAGAGGAAACTGGGAGCCCTGGATTTATAGCAAAGCATTACGAGCAGAAAGCAGGAAAAATGGAAACTTGTTTACCTAAGCCTTCGTTTTGCAAGACTTTTGGAGCATATCCGTTCCATACTGCTTTGAAGATTTAGTAGGGCAGTTATTGCTTGCTTTAAGCACTCTTTATCATCTTCATCCTCACTTCTTTCTTCCAATTGCTGTGAACATTGGAAGTCAAATACAAAAAATGTTACAAGCATTTTGGTACACCCAAATCCAGAAGTTTGACCTAGGAAGAAGAAATCCAACCATCTGCTGATTTTGCATACTCCTGTTTGTTAAAGTTAATGAAATAACCAGGTGCATTACTGACACAGGTAAGACACAACTGTCTGCTAAGAGCTTAATCTCAGTAAAATGACAGCAGCAGTCACTGGTGCCCCAGATACAGACGCATTCAGGCACGTTATTTACCTCAAAACTAGCTTGATTTACTTTAAATCTCTGAAAAAAGGATATATTAGAGGTGTTAAATCTTAAAGAGGAACAAATGAGGAAGGAGATCCCGATACATACCATTCTACAGTGCAAGATCAAATCTGGAGGATGTCTGTACATTTGTAACACATATAAACACTCCTGGAACAGGTGAGCTGGATCAAAAGCTAAGCAAAACTCCCTCAGTGCATTTATAAATGGAAGATTACAAGGGCTCTCACCTCCCTAACAGTCTAATCAGTAAGTCCAGTTGGAAGGGACCTTGCAGATTATCTTATCCAACCTCCAGCTCAGCTGCAGAGCCAACATAGATCAGGCTGCTTAGGGCCATACCGAGTTTAAAATTGCCCTCAGGATGGAGGCCACAACCTTTCTGGACAATCTGTTCCAATGTCTGAAATGGTAAATTTTTTTTTTCCCCTAATAGCTTATCAGGATTTCCCTTATTGACTTTCACAGTGGAATATGTGGAAGCACTATGCAGCTGTGAGAAGCACTTCTGTGTCTTCCCCACCCTATCACACAAAGACAGCAGGACTGTTTCCCTTCCTCATTAGCCTCCTTTTCTCCAGAATAAATAAGCCTGTTCCCCCAGCTTCTCCTTCATCACATGCTCCATTCCTCATGTCATCTTGACAAGCTCTTCCAGTGAGCTTGTTTCAGCACATCAATGTCAATAGGAAGCCCAAAGTGGATGTGGCTCTCCCGATGCAGCCTTGCCAGTACTGAACAGGTGGGCACTGCCACGTCCCTCAACCTGATGGCTACATACTTGCTAATATAGCGATACAGGCCTTCATTGCTTTAAGGGTGTTCTGCTGGCTTGTGTTCAGCTTATTTTCATGAAAAAAACCAACAGGGAAAAACAATAACCAGAGGGATGGTGGGGAGAAGTAAATGTTCTTCCTCCATGGAGGGGTTGACTGGTTGTTCCATCAGAAAACACGGGGGCATCTAACCATGGCCAGCTGGTAAAACCAGGGTACGTAAGTCCCTATCTGAGTACGCAGCTACACTAATGCTTTCATATACTAACTCAACTTTTCTTAAAGGACAAAAAAAGGTATAATAAAGTTATAAACTAAAACTGGACAAGAAGGGTTAATACTAATATTTTGTGCCTAACTATCACTGCAACAGGGAAGTTTTATAAAACAACACCTGCCATGTTTTTATCCTATTAAAATGTTTCACATAGCTAGAGAAAAAATTGTTGGCTACAGCTGTGGCTTACACATAAAACTGAGATAACAATTACTTACAGGATTATTAAGAGACAAGCGTTTCAGACTATTACACATCAAGGACTGGCTCTACACAATTGAAAGATTTGTTTTCACAGAGGTGGTAAAAGTGAAGCAACAGGCTGGCATGGACCAGGATAAGACACCCTCAGAAACAATTGCGCGGTGTGCTTCCTGTGTGAAACATAAGTATTGTCTTCCAAAACCCACCTGAATACAACATATTCAGGTTTGACATTTGAATGGGTCATAGAATAGCATTAATTTTTTCCCTGATCAGAGTTAATCATTCAGCATAATAGTGGTCAATGCCAAGGACTACTTTACTTGTGTTTTCAGCCATAAGGAAGACCACAAGGTTTATTCTAGGCAGCTTGTTTCATGTAGTGTAATCTGTCATACTCTTGACCTAAGCAGCTTTAGGCATGAGTGCCTACTCATATGACCACCACCGAAACAGGGATGATGTATTCTCCAAGAAGGAACAGACTACCCTCATCATATTCCTCTACTCTCTAGATTTAACACAGAGGTAAGGTATCATCTTCCCTTTGCTTCAGTTGTGCAGATCATCTAGGTATAAGACAAATAAGGCAGATACAGCACCACTGGCAGAAGACCTGAAAGAAAGCTAAGAAAAACATGTAACCACCTCTAAGATTCTGTGTCTTTCCTGCATAAGAGTTCAGAGGAGGCTCTTTGCCTTGCGCACTGCCTGTTGCCAACTTCCATCAAAAGAGTTTGGCTGGATTTCCTATCATCTCTGGGTAGCAACCCTTCAACAATGGACAACATCACTTTAGCCTAGTCTCCTTGAAAATAAGCCTTATTAGATCCTCCAATATTCTGCTATTTGCTTGTAAGGGTACCACAGGAGACACGGTAAGGAGCAAAAGGCACATAAAACACAGGACAAGTTTCAATGAAAATTAGGCTCAACACATAACAAAGCTTATTAAATTATTTCCTTATTTTTAGTACTGTCTATACAACCTAAATGCTCCACTCAAACTAACACAAGATGCATTGGTGCCTAGCATAAGGCAAAACAAAAATGGCCCATATCCCAAAAGAAGAAAGTTTTCAAAATTTGGAAAAATATCAAAAGAAACCCATGTAAGTGCAGGCTAATGTGTATAAGGGGAGTGCTAAACCAAACCAACAGAAAAATAAACCCCTATGAAATAATCAGGAATTTTTTCAACGTAGCACCTTAAAAACTCAAAATCTGGAAAAAAAAATTACTCTTCAGATTAACACTTACATGGTACAGATTAACATTCACTACTGCAAAGCATTCTGCTCCTGTGTTGAGTTTATAAAATACTTTTTACAGCAATTTCTCTCCAGTTGCAAAAATTTTGGTATTCATCACAGAAAAGTCCATGTCCAAAAGCAAAACGCATGTTTGTATACAGTGCTGGAGAGAAAGCAATTGTGTAAGACTAACATTTCCCCATCAGGATCCACTGGAAGTAACCCATATTTCCAACTGTATCTACTTGTTAAATCAAAGTCCAGTGAGTCTAATTATACTCCAGGTTTAACATTTCGAAAGTAGTATGCAGAAGTATGCATCTTCTTTAACTGTAAGACCTACACAAATGGCAAATCAGACAGTGCCGTGAACCGCTATGAAGATACTTGTCCGCACACAGAAAAGGAATTTGAAAGTTTATATTCTAGCATTGTATAATTACCATAAACTGCTATCAAAAACAGTCTTGGTCAAAACTGAGCTTAAACTACAGCAATGACTTTCATCTTACACTGCCCCCAGACGGTCTGGAAGAGCAGGTTATGGGAAGTGAAATGGCAGGGAAACACATCCAGATTTCTTTGCAAACTCCACTGATTTTTCTATAGCTGTGCAGTGCCCCCTAATGATAAATCAGGTAGATGCTAAATAAAAGTGTGGTGGTTTTGTGGTTTTTTTTGTTTGTTTTTGTTTGTTTTTAGATAAAGCATCCTGTCAAGAATACTGTATCATTATGAGGAGAAGGTGGATATTTCTGACTATCAGTACTGTTATAGCTGTGTTTTTTAATAATCTTATGAGAAAATATTGGTTTATGATGATTGTAATGATTCACAACACTATAGGCACAGCATCCTGGCCATTTGAGGATAACAAACTTGGAAAATAGACTGCTAAGGGAAGCTTCTAATAAAAAGAGTACTCTACATCCTAGGCCAAAAGCTCTGAAGAGATATCAAGAAGTGGAAGACAAGGTATTTTGTTCTACCTGTTGCATAACACAAGGATTAGATATTTATAAAAGCAGGAAATTCCAAACAGATACAAAAGAAATTCTCCTCATGCAGTGCAAAATTAAGACTATGGTAGTGGTTCTCTTATGCTGTCAGGGAAGTGTCTATCTAGAAAGACAATAACAGAAAATACATTTATACTTATGATGAGAATATGCAGATATAACAATACTAGTAGGTGTCACAATGGATATAAAAATCTTGTACTTCAGGGCTTACACCACAACCTAGACTTCTGTCTTCCTAGAAGGTTATTCTAAAACTAACCACTGAAATTTGTGAACTACAGGTTCGCCCATTCATCTGGGTGGAGAGATCACAAATCAGCTTCTAAGACACAAAAGACACAACAGCACATTGGAGGCAGGGAAATCACAACTGAATTTAACTTAAACTTAACTCACGATCACTTGATTGTACCTGCTAATGATATTTACTGCCCCTCAACCATTAATCCAAGAAGTTCAGTGCATAAGTGGCCCCGCGTTACAAGTGGAAGCTGCACACAGCAGTACTTGGAACAACAAGCTCGAACTAGTGCTGCTTTGGAGAAATGTGTTCAAAATCTAGTATGTAATTTCTTCAGACACCCTGAAGCCCACAGCAAGGCACCAAAACACTTGCATAGCTGGCAAAGGAAGCCCGATCCGTAGTGTCACCTAGCTTTTTTTTTAATGCTACATAAATAAGCAACATTCATGCACTGACACCAGTTACTCCAGCTTCTGTTCTAATGCCTCACCATTTTCTTCAACATGTTTCTGAGAATGGGGTACCTAAAGGCAATCCTGAAACAGGCTATTTTATGATCAAGAATAAAAATGAACAGGGTTTCTCCTCTGACAAATGCAGGCAGGCCGGCCTTCTGGCTCTTTGCCATAAAACAATCCTGGAAGCTGGCTCAAGAGCACTGAGCTGCCCAAGAGCTCTTTCTGACTTTTTGCAATTCCTCCAAATAATAACCAACTCAGCCCAAAGGAGCAGTATGCTGGCAAAAAAGTGCCTTCATATCCAGAAACTTTAATTTTTAGAAAGCATCAGGAAATCACCTGGAACAGCAAACAGGGAAAACTGCAGGGAACACTATACGTTTCTGGAAAATGCCAGCAGTCTAAAAGGCACTTCACACTTGAAACTTAAAGGAAACTCCAGGTGCCCTCTTCCTGGACATACATACACAGCTTCAATGCACTGAAATTATATGA